CTGATGGGGGATCTTATTAGAGACTTTTTGGAAGTGCAGATATACTATGTCAGCTAGGTCGCCCTGATCTACCTACCTGTTGACACTCTCAACAAACTCTGGTAGGTTGGCAAGGCACAGTTTCCCTTTGTCAAAGCAAAGTTAATTTCTCCTCAGCAAGTCATGTTCATCCATGAGGCTGAACAATTCTTTTAATTTATTACTGTTTCTACCAGTTTTCCAGGAGCAAAAGTTCCCTGCATTCTCTTTAGAGCCTTTTTAAAATATGGGAGTTATAATGACAACCCTCCAGTCCTCTGGTACCAACGCTGTTTTAGTGATGGGTTGCATGCTAGTTAGGAGTTCAGCAATTTCTGATCTGAACTCCTTCAAGACCCTAGGGTGAATGCCATCGGGTCCTGGTTATTGCCTGCGGATTAATGTATCAGTTTCCCCTACAAACCTATCCCTCAGTTTGGGTCAGCTCCACTGACTCATCCCTGGAGAGAAGTGGGCACGGTGACAGAACATTGCTAGCATCTTCCACAGTGAACACAGATGCAAAAAATGTATTTTGGTTTTCAGCACTGGCCCTGTCATCCTTTAGTGCCCCTTTTATACCCTGATCATCCAAAGGTCCAGCAGGTCTTTGGCTTCTAATGTACTCAAAAAATGTTTATTGTTACCTTTTGTGTCTCTAGCAAACTCCTTCTGAAAGTTTCTTTTAGCTTGTCTTATTTCAGTTTTACATTTGCCTTGCCAGTGTTTATTCTCTTTATATTTTCCTCGTTAGAATTTGACTTCCACTTTTTGAAAGAAGTCTTTTTCTTGCTTATTGCCTCTGAAACTCTACCATTAAACCATGCTGGCTTTCTTTTGGCCCACTTTCCATTTTTTTTATTTGTAGTGTGCATTTGCTTTGTGCCTCCACTATGGTATTCTTAAGCAGTTTCCATGCTGCGTGCAAGTTCCTCACCTTTTTAGGGGCCCCTTTTAACCTCAGTCTAACTAGATTCCTCATTTTGGTGTCATCTCCCTTTTTAAAGTTAAAGGCTACTGTGGTCAATTTTCTTGTCTCACCTTCTATGTCAGGGGTAGGCAATGTTTTTTGGCTACATCAGCGCATGCAGGTGCGCCTTGGAGCAGGCAGTGGGGGAGGGGCCTGAGGCAGCGCAGCCCCGGTTTCTCCCCCATTCTCAGCATGGGGGTGATGAGCCCGGTGCAGCTGTTTGGAGCCAGCCCGGGCTCTGGGCAGCTGCAACAAGCAGCGGGCAGAGTGCAAACAGCTGCGCCGGGCTCATCACCTCTGTGCTGGGAGCAGGGGAGAGACTGGGGCTTTGTTGCCTCAGGCCCCTCCCCCCCCACCTGCTCCGGCGCGCGGGTGCACCTGCTGTTGCGGAGCTGATGCCTGAGCCCAGAGCCTGGCACGGCTGTTTGGATCCTCCCAGCTGCAGCCTGCCCCAGCTCTGGGTAGCTGCTGCCAGCCAAGAGCCCGGACTACTCCCAGCAGGCAGCTGGGACGCTACAAGCCCTGCTGGGAGCAGCCCGGGCTCTGTCCCTGGCAGCAGCTACCGGGAGCCGGGGCTGTCCGCCGCGTGCCAAGCAAAATGGCCTTGCGTGCCACACTTGGCACGCGTGCCAGGGGTTGCTGACCCCTGTTCTGCGTGGATGTTGAACCCAATTGCGTTGTAGTCACTGTTGCCAAGGGGCTCAGGAACACTTACCCTTTGCACCAAATCCTGGGCGCTACTTAGGACTAGGCCAAGAACAGCTTTTCCTCTTGTAGGTTCCAGGACTAACTGCTCCAGGAAGCAGTCTTTTATAACATCAAGAAATTTGGTCTCTGCATCCCAGCCTGATGTTAAATTGATCCAGTCTACTTGTGGATAATTGAAGTTCCCTATTATTACTGTGTTCTCTGCTGTTGCAGCCTCTCTCAATTCCTTTAACATTTCTAGCTGACTGCTGCTGTCCTGGGTTAAAGGTCGATAGTATAGCCCTAGGCATACTTTTTTTCTATTGCAACCTGGGATTTCTATCCGCAAAGATTCTATGGTACCTCTCTTATCAGTTGAAAAATCTATCCTATTTGATTTGATGCAGTCTTTGATGTAGAGTGCCACTCCCCCACCAGTACAACCTACTGTATCATTCCTGTATAATTTGTATCCTGGTAGTCCAGCATCCCATTGTTTTTCTTCACTCCACCATGTTTCAGAGATATCCATTATGTCAATATCATTATTTACTGCTAAGCCTTCAAGTTCCCCTACCTTTGATCTTAAGCTTCTAGCATTAGTATAAAAGTGTGCGTATTTTTATTGTTGCCTGATTCATTACTTCATTGTGACCTTTTACTCATTGAAAGTTGCTGGTGCTTGTCTTCACCCTGTTTCTTACCCCTATTCTTTACAGTTTCACTGCTATAGGGTGTGTCAATCTGAACTGCGTGCTGTTCTGCAACTATTGGCTCTCTCTTTTTTTTTTTTTAGTTTAGAAGTTGTTTTAATGTTTTAAATGTTTTTAATGTTACTTTTTTAATGTTACGTGCCAGCAGTTGTGGTACCTTTTTGGCTCAGGTGTGTAACACAACATGTGGAGATAATCTCTTCTGTATAGGCTCTTCCTGTTCCAAAAGGTCCCCCAGTTCCTAATAAACCTAAACCCTTCCTCCCATCATCTCAGCCAGACTTTGAGACTGGAACTCTGCCTGTCTACCTGGCCCTATGTGTGACATTGGAAGCATTTCAGAGAATGCTACCATACAGGCCCTGGACTTCAATTTTCTACCTAGCAGCACAAATTTAGCTTCCAGGACCTCCTCGCTACCCTTCCCCACATTGTTGGTACCCACATAGATTGTGACCACTGACTCCAACCCAGCCCTACCTAGCAGTCTAAGCAGCCTATCTACACATCCCATGAGGTCCTCTAACTTTGCACCTGCCAGGCAAGTCACCATGTGGTCCTCCTGGATGTCACAAACCCACCTATCTATATGCTTAATAATCAAATTGCTCACTACCACCACTATGTCTCCTATTCTATGGGAAGGATATTCCCTTGGAGGAATATCCTTGGTGCAAGAGGACATTATAACATCAGCTGGAAGGTGGGTCCTATCTAAGGGATAATTTCCCTTCTTCCCAGCTTGATGCCCTTCAACCCCAAGGCTCTCCTCAGCAGCATGGGAGCTGCTACAGTGGAGGTGGGACTATTCTAAAATGATCCTGAAAGCCTCATGTATGAACCTCTTTGCCTTCTGTAGCTGCTCCAGTTCTGCTGCCTGAACCTGAGAGAATGTATGTGTTTTCTCAGAGCCAGGAATTCCTTGTATCAGGTACACACATATGAAATCCGCCCCTGGGGCAGGTAATCATACATGCCACACTTGGTGCATTGAACTGGGTAGCCCCACCCTGGTCTCGGACATATACCTACATATTTTTAAAAAGTGTTAAAACTGAGTTTCCTCATTAAGAAGGTCTTGATTTATGGGTTCCCTTAGACTAGAAACTTTGAACTTACAGAATGACCTTCTATTTAGCCTTTGTCTGCCCTAATTGCAGCTAATAATTAAAAAAGGGACTTAAGTATTGATCTAACTGCTGAATTCCAGCAATCTCTGCTAAATAACTAGGTTAGGTACTCTGAATTAAAGAAATAACTTACCTACTTACCTTAAAGGCTCCTCTTCAAAGTGGGGGTCAGCCAACTGACTTGTGATCTGCTGGCAAACTATGGTACCTGTTTGCTCCAGGGCTCTCCTTTTATTCTCTCCTGGGCCTGGACTGGCTCCATCCCCCTGTTAGGGCTTTTGTCAGACACAGGCAGCAATAACTCAGCTAGCAGCACTTGCCAAATGCTTAGAGTCAATGGCCCAAGCAAACAGCCAAACAGATGCTCACCAAACTAAATCGCAGACAGACCAACCTGACTTACCTTCCAGGAACAGGCTTTGGTGCTTGGTGTCTACTCTTCCTCTTCTTTCTCTTTCTCCCAGTGAACTGCTTGCAGACTGCCCTATTTGCTATGCCTGTTTGCTCACCCTGAGCATTGCGTAGCACCTCCAGGAAAGGGCCAAGGCCCCTCAGATGTCATTGCTGTCAGTGAGTTGCTTGCAAGACAAGCTCTCATGTTGGTTTATATAGGGTGGTATTTGTGTGGCCCAGTGCCAGGTCTGGAATGTTTCATACACAGTTGGGACAGTAGGAATGGAAGTGGGAAAGCTGTTGTGCAGGATCCTTGGAGATGCTCCAAGGAATGGAAGCAAAGCAGCCCCATTGTACTGGCTAATGATTTTACCAATGTCTTCTACTCTTAGTCCTACATCCTCTCATGAATGCTTACTTCAGGCATTGTGATCTCTTGCCCAGCTGCTCAGCAGAGGATAACAAGCAGACTGTGCTCCTGCAGGCATACAAAGTGAAGCATTAGTAGGCTTAAAAGTATCACTAGGGAAATATCATAATTAAAGATGGTCAAAAATTCTCAGTGAATTTTGAAGATGAAAAGAAATATTGGGAATCTTAAAATAGAAACCATTATATATAATGAATTAATTTTATTTTATTTTCTTTCCCAAACTACCTGAAAAATTCTGATATAAGAAAGTGGGGTTTTTTACTCTTGTAATTTAGTGATATTTTTTTAAATGTCACAAAGAGGATACATTTCCCTGGGACATTTTTATGAGTTTATGGCTCTTTATGAGACTGTTTTACCTTGAGTCAGTTTTTTTCTTTTTGGTGGAAAAATTGCTGTCACCAGTACTTCCCTGAAGAGAGAAGCAGACCTCCATGGGTTATTTATGGAACATGCATTTTTTCCTAGGTGCATCCTGGCTCAGGGATGCTGGATTCAGTACCTGAAAGTAGTATGATGGCTCTCTGTAAAGGAGTCTCTCCTGAGTGGCATTACATTTCTAATTGAGCATGTTGCTATTTACCTGGGAGCACCACTGGCCCCTTCAAACCATGCATCACTTGCATGTTGCTTACTGGACTGCTTTGTCTGTTTAGGGTGAAGTGCTCCAAATACCTCCAAATAAGTGCTGCCCTGAGTGTGTCTTGGGAACTAAAGGATTTTGCCAACACGAAGGACAGACACATGGGGTAAGTGCTCTTCTGTATCGCTTGGCACTATTGTTATTTTTACATCTCAGTTCTCTGATTACCTGTCTCAGTATAGTGAGGGCAGCTTTTGCTTGCACACAGTTGGTGGCTGTTCAGATGCCAGAGAAGCCTGAGCCTGTCAGAACAGTTAGGCCAAAAACGTCTCTGTTATCAGCAGTCATCACTGAGCCTTTTCCAGCTGAAGACTCTGGAAAGCAGACAGATTTTCATGGCTGAGGGTTGCTGAGGTATGGAAGAGATCCCAGAAGCTGTAGCCAGGTCAGCTGCCATAGCCCCTGGTATACTCAGGAGAGGCTTTTTGGATCCTCATCTCTGGCACTACTTTGAAATTCTTCTGCAGTCCCTTAGTTTTCTATGATTCTGTGATTTTCTAGGGGGCCCAACTGGCCACTGTCAGGTTTAAAGTGCAGCATATGGTTTCTGTTGCGTCCAGAGTGTTGGGTGCAAGTGAGGGTTGAAGCTACTTGAGAGGAGATGATGAATAAATCTGTGATGGAGGGGTAGCTCATGGGCATCGCTGACAAATATGTGGGTGAAGAGCTCAGCATGTTGGGAGCCTTTATCTTTTTTGGGCTGTGGTTGAAGGGATGTCTGAAGAGTCCCTCCACGTTTTCTTCTGTTTCATGTGGGGAAGGAGGAATATTAATACTTTTCCATTTTTTTCTGAAAGTGAATATGGATGCTGTTTATAAACGTGAACCAAAAAGTGCCTTCAGAAGGACAGTGGGCCCAATCCTGGAGCCCTCATCCACCTTTCACATACATAGCCCTTATTCATGCACAACTTCCAAAGTCCATGAGGTTTTTGCCTAGAGAAGAACTTAGTAAGTTACAAGGAAAGACTTCAGGATTTGCCTTAGTGGCTGAGGGAGAAGCCTGTTGTCTATGTAGCAATGAAACTTCGACTTCTGCACTGCAGTTGCATGGGCTCTGCTGAGACTTCTTCCCACTGTAACATGGCTTTCTGAATTTATTTCCACAAGGTCCAACCTGTTGTGGACATTATCTAGGTAAGAAGCTGCGTGATTGGAATGGAGTTCTCTAGTCAAGCCAAGTTAAAGCCTATCTTTGTGTGTGCATCCTTGGTAATATCAGCAAAACATTTAGTTCATTTCCTTGGCCAGTTCTAGGGCTACTTCAGACTCTGATGCATACATGTATTACACACGGGAACTGGGTCAGTGCAATTTTAAGCTATTTCACACATGACCTACTCAAAGCTATCACTTCAGATTAACTTTTGGGCAGATGCCCAAGATGAAAAAAATGGCATTTTGCAGCCAACTGTGTCATGGAGAGGAGCCTTCATGTTTTGCTAAAGCGGGCTGGGATATCCTCTCATAGCAGCTTTTTCATTACACACTATTGAAGTCAGCAAAAAGGACCATTGATCTTTGCTGATAATTCTTCCCACTGTTACATAAGGTGACATACTTGGCATTTAGATCTCTGTAGTTAGTGCACAGTGTGGCTTGCACTTGGGGCATAATGTGTGTGGGTGGGGCGGGTCATTCATTCACTTTACTATTTTGTATGGTTACTTGAGACAGGTAGTACTGTTAGGAGAAGAAATAAACATTTGAAATCTGCACATTTCCTTTACCCAGATTGGAGGCTATAATGATCATTGGAACTTCATGTTGGAGACTGACTGCTTCATATATGCTTAGGTAAACACAGGGTGCAGGAGGTGGCCAGACCTGAAGGAAGAAGTATCCTATATGATATAAAAAAAGTCATTGAGGTTCAGAGATAGTAGTTATTGGCTATGACCATGCCCAATAATGGGCAGAACAAGCAGATGTTTTAGTACGTAGGTACTGCCCTCAGATCTGGGAGGGTCTGTGTTCAGTTCCCTGCTCTGCCTTGGAATTCCCATGTGACCATGTCCAACAAACATAGTCCAGGTTCTCAGAGACATGTGGGTTCCTGACTCCCAGGTGAACTGATAGGGATTTAGGAGCCTAAATAGGAGTTAGGTATCTGTGCATCTTTGAGCACCTGGGCTTAAATCTTGTTGTGCCTGACTTCATCACCTGTAAAGCAGGGATAAGTAGCATTTCCCTGCTTTTCAGAGTGTTATGAGGGTAACTACGCTGTGAAGTGTTCTGATATTACAGTAACGGTGACAAATACCATAGACCAGTTGTCTTCCCTCACATCTGTTTTTATTTGTGTTGTATTTATTTGTGTTGTATTAACTGGTGCAGTTAGATTTGCAGTTGTTTTTTGGCTGATACAATGTTTTATTTTCAATTGATCTTTTTTTTTTAAGGGGGGATGTAACCACGCTCACTGGAATCGATACAGACTGACTCTGCCTCGTGACTGTAGTTTAGTATCTTGCATTCTTGACCCATGTCATATTGGCCTGGAAATAATGATCACCTTCTTGCCAAACTTCTTATGTGTTAGAAATGTACTACTGTGTGAGCTGTGTATTTAACAGGCTTTGGTAATGTAAAGATACACCCTAACAGCTGGAACACACTACACAAAGAGGAATGCTTTACTGTCTGTCACTAAGCCGGGTGAATGCTTTATTTTAGAAGTATCTGGCCTGCAAAACTGGCTCCAGAGATAACCCCCCATGAAAGAAAATCCTCACACTGCAACTCAGCAGATTTTTCCCTGCCCAATTTAATACTTCACAAAAAAAAGAAAGAAGCAAAGCCAAAGATCTGTGTTTTCTGCGTCAAAAAATAGCAGTTTATCTTCCTGTGTTCTGCTGGTGTTGGTGAGTGTGCTCTTGCACTCTGTAGTATCTTCTAAGCTTTCTTTCTGTAAGGTAAGGAAAGAAGGGTCTTCAAGGACAACACAAGAAGCAGTGTGTTTCTTCTTGGGCCAAATCCTCCTCCCCTCTTGTATGAGCAGACCCACTATAGTTGATGGGAGAGTAGGGCAAGCAGGATTCAGCCTGTGGGAAGGTATTTTGTATTTTAAACATGTAGGGCCCCATTTTACATTCAGTTATACAAGGGTTCCTATGAACACTTCAGTAGGAGGCATGTGTGGTGAAGGACTATAAACTGCATTTGTAGGAACTCCAATCCAAGTCCTGCAGCCATGGAAGTAGCAGGGAGAATATGTACGTTTGCTTTTTATTGGTTGAGCTGTATTGTATTGTTTGATCTTATGTGCATTGCCCTGTGATTGAACTGATCCCAGCATGACCACTACACCATCCTTGGGCTGCTTTATCTCTATGGTACCAGCCACAATGGTTTTACCGCTGCCTGAAGTCTGGGTCACAAACAAGTGAGCCTGATTATGTTTTGCAGAAGAAGAAAATTTAAGAATTGGTGTGGGTCAGCTCATCATGGAGAAGATTAGTTGCAGTCTCATTGACCTTTGGATTTGTTTAACCTTTTTCCATCTTGGTTTTCTGTTGCAGCATGGTACAGAATGGGCAAGCTCTCAGTGCACAATGTGTTTCTGTGCCAATGGGACAGTTCACTGCTCCCCTAAGCTCTGCTTGGTCCCATCTTGTGGCAGCGGGGAACTGGAATATGTCGCGCCAGGAGATTGCTGTCCCAAATGTGTGGGGATTGGTGGTGAGTATGTGAATGGGATGTCACCTTTGAGTATACTTAAAATGACTCAAGGAGTGGTTTGGGTGCTGCTGTGCTGCTCTCCACCATAGTTTAACGATTTGTTGGGAACAATTTTTTCACTCTTAAACTTCAATGAGAGGTCGTTTCTCCTTTCCCCTTCAGTTCTCTGAAGGAGCAACCTAACGAAATACCTCAGCGTCTCAAGATCCTCTGTTCATTCAGCTAATTTTGGCATGTGTTGATGAAGCTGAGGTTTCAGATTCGACCCAAGGCATCTAGATGCCCAATTCCCATTAAAATTAAATGAGAGTTAGGCCGGTGAAATCCCACCCTCAATCTAAAAGGCAAAGCCTCCTGAATACTGGTGGAATTATTGATGTTTTTTATTGCCAATAAATCAGGCCTTTGAGTTTTGAGACACATTATGTCATCTTTAAAACTTGCACAAAAACTGTTCCAGAAACTGAAATTCCCCAGTACCATAAAACTTAGATACGCTTTTGTAGCTGCATACTTAATACACCCGATAGAACCTAGGAACCAAATGCCTGGCTGTAAATGAGGGATTCTCTTATGATGAGCCTGAATTCAGTGGAGTTGAAGCCTTTGGTATTGGAGCTGTATTTTGTCTTTGCTCTGCATGTGACAAGATTGCCTGTTACACAGTGGCATAATTTATGATACCCAAGGAGAACAGGCTCAACTCTTTAGCTAACTTAAAATGTAAAATATCATGTAAAGGAATCATGTAAAATTTAAGTGTCAGCAGTGGTACTTTTCAGGGTACATCTTCCTAGCACAGTCGACACCACCCAAATTGTCTTGTCAGAGAAACCTGACTTCATTTTTTGATGAGATTACAAGTGTGGTTGAAGAGGGTCACCGCACCAATGTGCTACAAAGTGCTTCTGCAAGGTGTCTGGCTTAGTACCATGCAAAAAGTAGTATTTAACTACTTGAATAATTCGCATACTAAGTTAGGGACGGACTGACTGACAGACCTCCAAAAGCAACTGTCAGAAGACTTGTCAATCTTAATAGAAGGGTGAACACTTCAAGTGAGGTTCTGTAGTGATTGGTTCTAGGCCTGATGCTATTCCACATTTTATCAGGGATTTGGAAGTAAATATAAAACCTGTGCTGCTTTAATATTTGCAGCTGAAACAAAGATAGGTCGAGTGATAGATAGCAAAGAGAAGGCGGTTATACAGCACAGTCTGAGTCACTTAGTCTACTGTGGCCATGCTAACAAGCAACAATTTAATAGTTAATGACACTGTGTAGGAACAAAGAATACAAGGCGTACTTGCAACCTAGGGAACACTGCCCTTGGAAGCTGTAATTCTGAAAAGGATTTAAGGATCACAGAGAACAAGCAACTTGACATGAACTAACCAATGTGATGCTGTAGTCAAATTGGCTGGTGCCATCCTTGGATGCATGGATAGGAGTATTTGGTAGGAGAAAGGAAGTGGTTTTATCTCAGTATGTGTCATAGGAGGGACCCGTACCAAAATACTGTGTCCCGTCCTGATGTTTGCAGTTTAAGATGTTGAAATTGGAGAGGCTGCAAAGCAGTACACAATGGAGAAAGTGCTTTGGAGTAAGAGACTATGTTAGTTTAGGTTACCAAAATTAAAATTGAGATGTAACCTCATTATAGTGCATAGTAATTCTGAAATAAAAATACCAGGACTCTTCAAAGTAGTAGCAAAAGGCATAACAGAAATTAATGGCTGGAAACTGAAGCCAGCCAAATTTAAATAAGATATGGAACAAACAGTGGTGGTGATTAACTACTTGAACAAACTGGTGAGAAAAGACATTTTTTAGTGTCTTTAAGTCAGGACCTAGATGGATTTCTGGAAGATGTGCCATTTTCATATCAAATTGTTGAGCTCAGTACTAGAGGAACAGGATGAAATTTGAAGTCTTATGTTATACGGGAAGTTAGACTAGATGATGAATAGTCTCTTTGTAGCTATAGGGACTTACTGGACTGTGCAAAGATGCCTGCTGCCTATGGCTAGTAACCTTATATACAGATGTGAGATCTTGGAATATGTTCTAAGGCCAGATGTGGCAATTTCAAGATGAAGTCTTTTGCCCACAAACATCAGTAAGGACAGGCGTGACCAGACTGTGCTAGAAGTTTATAGGAGCAAGAATTTTACTTTTTTTGTGTTCAGGAAACATCTAATGCATTGCAGATGCCATCAGAAACAAACTAGCAATAAATAAATGTCACGGCTGGCATGTATTTTAGTATTCTAATAAGTATAATTCACCTTCAGGGGGATGGTCCTTCCTTGCTGCAAATGCTTATCGGTGGAGTCATGTATCTATAATTTTTTGTTATATTCCCACAAATTCATAACTCATTGACTGGCGGAAGGAGGAAAACCAGAAGTATTTTGTGTACCAGTGAACACTGCACTGTGCAGCCAGTTGGGGCCTGCAAGAAAAGTCATGCTCTGCTGTTATTGCTGCGTATTTAAGTGATCCGTAGTTCCTAGAACTTGGAAAGGATGGATCTGAGATTAAAGATGTGTGATGGAGGGAGGAGGGGGAGAGAATTAAAGGAAGGCTGAAAATGGAAACACAGAATGTCTTAAATGTCTCTCAGAGTCCTGCTCCTTTGATGGCCAAATGTTCCGGGATGGCGAGGAGTGGCAGCTCAGCCCATGCTCCAAATGTTTCTGCAGGAATGGAGCAACTCAGTGCTTCACAGCAGAATGTCGGCCTGTGGCATGCAGCAGGGTAAGGGCAGTACTGTCAGGTTTCTCTTTTTGTAGGAAGTGGACACTTTTCACAAGAACATGTTGTCAAGAGTTACTACTGGGAGAAAAAGCATTAGGAAAAGGAACTCCTTGAAGATATTTAGAAGTGTTAAAAATAAAACAAGAAAGCCAACCTACCAAATAAAAAGACCCCCTGAACTTTGCCATGTATGTTCTTATGAATCTAATCTTAAAATTATAATATCAACTTGTGAACTGTTCTTTTGCTTTTTTTAATATTGTGAATACTGTAGAGCTGGTCAAGAAATATTTTTGTTCCGAAAAAAAAGTTGATGAAAGCAGAAAAGTTTTAACAGAATATCTGTTTCTTCAGAAGATTTGTTGAAACATTTCAGTTTTCAGCTAAAGTATTTTGGTTGGTAATTTTTTGTTAAGAAGTCCCCAGATGCAATAAAAAAATGGATATTTCTCAAATGAGATGACCATTGTGGCCAAAAAGTCATCTTTTTGTCCAAAAAATGCTTTGAATTAAAAATCTTTAATCAGCTCTAGAATACAACTCACCAAAGGGTGATATGCTGCTCTAATGCTTAGTACCAAAACCTGGAAGCTGGTAACACTTACTTGCTCATGTTCACCCCAGAAGTCATCACCAGGGATCCTGGTTTTCTCTGATTAAAAATTGCAAATTCTCTGATTAAAACCCCAAAATCTGTGATAAACAGTGAAGGCTCCCCCCCCCCCTCCCCCGCCAGTGCTGCTGGTGCCCTGCACTCCACCCCCCCAGTCTCAACAGCCCTCTTGATGCCCCTCACAACAGCCCCCAAGACCCATGGACACAGATATGCAGACACAGACACTGACACCCACCCCAGGTAAGTGTGTGTGGGGGGAAGGGGTGGGGCAGGGCGGGGGAAAGGGAAGATCCTGAGGAGTAGATCAAGAAGGGGGAGAGTGTGCCCCTGTGCCCACTCCCAGGAGCAGGGCCAGGGGGTGAGGGCAGGGGTGCCACTCTGCGGGCCACACGCCAGCTGGCCTGATAGGGAGTTCTCACACAGAGGCCACCACCGCAACTCTGCCACTGCACCCTGTGCTACCATCCCATGGACACCTGCATGGCTTTGTGGGCAAATGGTGCAGGGTGCAGCAGCAGGAGTGCGCTGGCAATCACTGTGTGTGGGCCACATACATGCCGCCCGGCCGGGGTGGTGAAAAGGGGGGCTTGTGTGCAGTGGCCACCACTGCACCACTGCTTATGGCCCATGACTGGCTGCATGGTTCTGCGGTGGTGCAGGGTGGTAGCAGCTGCATGCTGGCTGGTGGGATGGGGGGTGGGGGGCTTTGCGGGCAAGCGTTGCCATTCCGGAGCCATGCCCTCCGTCGGGCAGCAGCAGCAGTGTGGTGGTTGCCGGGCAGCACTCAGCCATCCCCACTACTACCCCACACTGTGCCACTGCTGCCGGCTGCACAGCTCCAGGCACGGCTCCGTAGCGACAGTGGGAGGTTTTGTAGGCAGCGGTCATCACCGCTGGCATGGCCCTACAGTAAGTGGCAGTGGCCGCTGCATGTGAGCCCCTCCACCCCTGCAGCCACAATCCCTTGCTGCCACTGCAGAGCTGGCCATGGAGCTGTGCAGCCGGCTGCATGCAGGCCCCCTCCTCCCCTGGGCAGGCGGCTGGGTGACGTGTGTGGCCCGCACGTGGCGGAGACCCCATACTGGGCCCCGCATCGCTTGCTCACAAAGCCCCTGACAGAGAGGCACCCCTGCCCTCGCCCCCTGGCCCTGCTGCCAGCTGTGGTGTGTTGCCTGGGGCCGGCAGCACCCCCAATCCCTCAGCTCCCAACCATCTTCCCCAGCGCTGCCCCACTTACCTCTAGGCTCCAAGGGCAAAGGGCGAGTCTGAGTCGGAGCCCAGCCTTGGCTGCCTCAGAGGCTCAGGCCCTGCCCTCTCCCTCCCCCTCTGGGCAGGGCTGGGGGTTTCCTGCCCTTTCTGCAATCGGCTCTTGCAGGCTGGAGCTGTGCCAGTCTGCAAGAGCTCTTTGCAAAAGCGGAGAATCTGCGGATTTCTCTGCTAAAAAAGGAAATCCGCATCTTCTCCAATAAAAACAGGGAATCCGTGGTTTTCTCCGTTTTTCTGTGGGAAACGGAAAACCCGGATCCCTGATTATCACCTAAATTACAAAATGAAAGTGCTTTTGGCTCCCAGCTTTTTGCTTAAAATGTTAATTTGTCATTCCCTCAAATCTACACATTCCAAAAGCAAATTAACATTGTTAATTAACTTATCAATATCTGGATAATATAAAAAATCTAGAGCATACTTAGTGTGACTTCCACACTATACAGTGCTTTAATGAATTGTGTTCTTTGTTAGTTAATAAACAAGAAGTGCTAAGAGAGTGGAGTAGATCAGTGATACCCCCCAGAGGTTTGTGGGGGTCAGTCTGACATCTGGATTCTGCTTGGGGTTGGTTGTGGGATGTGATCCAGCACACCAGACCAATCTTGCACACCTGGATCTGTTCACTCCCAGGTGTGATCTGACATTCAGGGCCATACTATCTGCCAGGCTCCCCTGAGTCTGTATATTTGACAGCAGTTGAGCTCTGTGGGCAGGATCTGGCCTGCAGGCTAAGCACCTCTGCAATAGATAATGGTGGATTTCTTTTTATTGGTTTCCTTAGGTCACATTTCCCAGGATTCCCAAGCTTGTTTGAAACAATATGACCTTAAATTGCAACAAGAGAGATTTAAGTTAGACAGGAGGGAGAATTTTCTAACTCAAGCTGGTAAAGCAGGGGAACAGATCATGTACGGAGGCTGTGGAATCTCTGCCACTGAATGTTTTTAAGTGCAAGGTTAGACGGACATTTTTCTAGAATGGTTTAGACAAGAATGATCCTGCCTTGAGAAGGGATTTGGACTAGGTAACCTCCCAAGGCTCCTTCCAACCCTATTTTTCTGTGATTCTGCATTGCTGACTCCTTTGCAAAATCAGCTCCTTGGGAGTTCCCATTGTTCTGCTCTACTCTAGGTCTCAGGGTACTATAGTTATCTTGATTTTTGACCACCTAGCACATTCCAGTCATCAACCCAGAAATCCAGCTCCTGTGATGGGTGAGATGTGGTTAGGCAGGTTGCCACGATAGCATTGCAGAAAGCAAAAACCCTATTACAAACCCTTTCTTCTTTTAATGCTCACCCACCTATGTACTAGGGGGCCAGGTGTTCATATAATTAACATTGGCCTTTGAAAAAAAGCCCACCTGTTTTTCTGCATACTAAGCACTTGCTGTTTTGTGCTGAGATGTGTAATTAATATTTGGAGATTAAGTGCTGTGCATTAAAGCAAATTTATGCAAGATTTGGATCCCCCCCCAATGTACACACATTATTTATTGATCAATTACAGTAATGTTTAGTCAGCTAATCATTAAACCTTAATTTGGAAAAACTGGAATGAGTACACTGTTGCCATGACATGTCTAGAATAATCAGCTAAAAGCATCCAAGTTAATACAGCAAAAATCCCTCTTAGCTAATTCCAAAAATGTTCCGTAGATTTCCTAACAAGATGCTGTAATGGAAAAGGCCTTAGTAGCAACTGCAACAATCGTGTACCACTCCTCTTGTTCTGATCTTCTCTGCACTGTTTGCAGTTATACGTGTACCACTGCTTCTAGGTCCCATTTCCCACCAGAACATACAAATGAAAAACTTCTCCCAGATGCTAATTCTGGCAAAATGGCAATCGATAGAAAGCAGTCATTTTGCCATCCTTCAGATCCTGCCTCTGGCCTGTTATCTGCCTCAAGGAAGGGAATCAGTCATTTTGTCAGTTTTTTCTGTTTCTTCAAAGAGCTTGTAGGACCAGATTCTGCTACCCAGTCTCTAGTGACGGTGAAACCTTAATATATGTGTTTTCTCTGTCTAATCCATGAGGACTGTCCATGAGGTATGGTAGTAGTGTGTGTAATTAAAGAAATAGAACGGGGTTGTTAGTTCTTAGCCCTCCATGCTCTTTGACTGAGCCAGAAGTGAGGAAGAATCATGCACTCTCCCTGATAGCACAGGATCCTGTAACTCTGCAAGGGAAAGCTCCCCAGGTCTGCCTGGTGGGAGAACCCAGGGAGTCCTCACGGCTCACATTGCATGGGCTCCCCACAACCCCTGCCGTGGGGGGAAACAGTGTAACCCTATGCCTTATTGCCCTTTGTCACTCAGAGGTTGGACAGCCCTGATCTGAACCATGTACTTCTCTCTTTTCTTGGGTTTCTAAGTCCCTGGCTATCTAAAGAAACCCAAAATCTGCTATTTTGAAGGATAACTTTGTGCCAAGTCCACTACTTGGATGGTAAAGTATAAAGAAGACCCCACATTTCTTACTGTAATTCAGGGCTGAGTGGCTGCTGGTTAGCATGGAAGTTAAAGGCATGGGCTACTAGGCCACAGCTTTAATTTTCAAACTGTTATTTTTTTTGTCTCAACTCATCTTTAGGATGAAGTTATGATTGTAACTCCTGGAAAATGTTGTCCAGAATGTGTTCCAAAGCCCTGCTCTGTATCTGGAGAAGCATACAAGGTAACCTTTGATGAACCACACCAAAATCCAACCTGACCTAGGTACTGACTTTTCCCCATTTTCCTCTCCCTCACATCTGACTTCCAGCCGGCATGACTAACTTGATGCAACAGCTGCCTTTTCTCTCTGGGAAGGTAAAGGAGTTGAAAGGGATTAAAAATAGGAAAGGAATCTGCTGGCAAGCAGTGACCAGGTTCACAGGGTGAAGTAGATAAGCAGATAAGGTGTTTACTATGTATTCGTCTTTTTAAAGGGGAAAAGCAGAAATGATTGATGAATCTTACTGTAGTCATATCATTCTTTGTATCACTTGGAATGCATTTAATATATTTAGTGATGTATACAAAGGAAGGTTTATTATGAATAAATATTTGTTCATAGTAGTAGTTAAGTTCTTGTGAAGATTAGTGACTATTTCCTAACAGTTTGAGAAATACACACTGTGGGATCTACCTAGTCTTCTCTTTTTTCTTTATATTTGCTTATCATGGGATATACCTTATTTCTTTAAAAAGTACTGTGCTTGGATATGGGCACACATATGCAACCCAGTGTGCCCAATGAAAAATATACACTTTAGAACCTGATTTGGATATCAGTGGTTGTTATTATTCACATAAGTATGGATCTTCTCTTTGGACAGCATGGTCAGCAATGGAAGAAAAATCCCTGCACTACCTGTATATGTCATAGAGGGGAAGCCAGATGTGTAAGACAGGCCTGTGCCTCACTCACCTGTGAGAAGGTAAGTCAGATATACAGATCAGGCTATATGTATCACTCATCTTGTACTTAATGATGGCTCAGGGGACAGAACTCAGTAAATATTTGTGTTTTTTAGGATCAGAACAAAGTGCAGCGTCCAGGGAAGTGTTGTGAGGAGTGTGTGTCTTCCAAAGGCATCTGCTTATCTGAAGGCATCATCAGGTACCACAATGAGATGTGGAATGGCACTCGCTGTGAGTTCTGCATGTGTGATGGAGGGCAAGTCACTTGCCAGAACGCAGAGTGTGCCAAAGTGGAGTGTGCCTGGGTAAGAAAGGATTTCTTCTTTTAAAACATACAGATCAAATCCTATTTTTTTCCTTAATTGACTGACTTTTCTTGAGACAGTTTAAGAATCTGGTCATGGTAGATCCTTCAATTCCTGTTTTACCCTTCTGCCTTAAAAGCACTGAACAGAAGACAGAGAGAGGAAATGGACTTCAGATTTTACATTGGATAGAAAACTGGCTGGATTGTAGGGATCAAAGGGTAGTAATCAATGGCTCAATGTCTAGGTGGCAGCTGGTATCAAGTAGAATGCCCCAGGGGTCAGTCTTGGGGCCAGTTTTGTTCAATATCTTTATCAAAGTCCTGAAAGATGGGATAGAGTGCACCTTCAGCAAGTGTGTAGATGACACCAGGTTGTGGGGAGCAGTATATATGCTGGAGGGTAGAGCTAGGATTCAGAGACACCTGTACAAATTGGAAGATTGGACCAAAAGAAATCTCATGAAATTCCATAAGAACAAGTGCGAAGTCCTGCACTTAGGACAGAACAATCCCATGCACCAGTACAGGCTGTGGGCTGACTGGCTAAACCGTAGCTGTGCAGAAAAGGACTTGGGCATTACAGTGGACAATAAGCCGAATATGAGTCAACAGTGTGTCCTTGTTGCAAAGAAGGCTAACAGCATACTGGACTGCATTAGTAGGGCTGTTGCCAGCACATTGATGGAAGTGATTATTCTCTTCTATTTAGCAGTGGTGAGGCCACATCCTGAATATTGTGTCCAGTTTTGGGCCCCCACTACAGAAAGGATGTGGACAAATTGGAGAGAGTCCAACAGAAGGCAGTGAAAATGGTTAGAGGTCTGGGGCACATGACTTATGTGAAGAGGCTGAGGCTGAGAGAACTGGGCTTATTTAGTTTGGAGGAGAGACAACTGTGGGGCTGGGGGAGGAGTTTTCAACTACCCGAAGGTTGATTCCAAAGAGGACGGCGGAGCTAGACTGTTCTCAGTGGTGGCAGATGACAGAACAAGGAGCAATAGTCTCAAGTTGCAGCCAGGGAAGTTTAGGTTAGATGTTAGGAAAAACTTTCTCCCTGGGAGGGTAGTAAAGCATTGGAACAGGTTGCCCAGAGAGGTTGTGGAATCTCTATCATTGGAAGTTTTTAAGACCAGACTAGGCAGAGCCCTGGCTGGGTTGATATAGGTGGGGATGGTCCTGCTTTGAGTAGGCAGTTGGACTAGATGACCTCCTGAGGTCCCTTCCAACCCTAATTTTCTATGATTTGGCGATGGACAAGGCAGGCAATTTGGCTGTTTTGCTTTGTGATATAGGATGCTAAGGTGAATCACTGTTTGTCTCTAACCACTGGCCCTTTCTGCTTTGTAACTAAAGCTCAAGCACATGTCTGAGTTCAACAGCTGTCATTGGTTTCAATGACAACAGGCCCCCCCTCCACAAGAGCTGACTTGGCGTGGACAGAGTGGATCAGATACAGCCTGATCCACTCTGTCCAGCCTGATCCAGTTGTTCTTCACAACTACAAGTAGTTGTGAAGAACTACTTCTATGTATGCATAGAAGCTGTAGCAGTTGTTCCCTTGACCTTTGCTAAAAGTACAAAACAAAGTACTGGCAAAGTTATTAGCTGCTAGATGTTCTGACCTGCCACCTTTCCTCATACAATGATGAGACAGGGTTCATGAGAAGACTTATGGGAAATGACACTAGCAAAAGCATTGCTTCTTCCATCAAGAGAAGATGACTAACTATATTAAAGTTACACTATAAACCAGAGAGGTCAGACTCATGTGGGGCCTCGAGCTCGATCTGGACCTTAGGGCTTCTAATGTGCTGGACCCAGCCTGGGGTACAGAGGTAACTACTATGGCTACTGTGGTGATAACAGTGGCAGGTCCAGCAGGATCAAGGGATCTGGATGTGATGGTGGGAGGGGTGGCAGTAGGTCCAGATGTGGCAATGGTGGGTCCTGACACAATGAGGGGTTCAGAGATGGATCCACTGGCCATGGGAGGGGTCCAGGAGCAGTGGTGGTGAGCCAAGCTCACTATTGATGGCTATGGCCAGTGTGTCCAAAGGGCCCTGAAATTTGGTGCAGGCCACAACTTTCAGTGGCCTGCTAATAGGCCAATGGATCAGACGGAGAGACTCTGAGAATCAGATGTTTGATACCCCTGCTATAAATGGATGCAGAAGAGGCAGTAGATAGGGTTGAATAGCATATCTATTTGCTCTCTTTAAAAATACTTTTAGGTTAACTTGCCTTAGCTGGACAAGACTTCTGGGTCGTTTGTCAATAATGTTTGTATTAACTCAGATCAGTTTCATTCCGACTGGCCTTACAGAGCCAGTGAGAAGCAGGGAAGTATATCTCTTGGCATATTTCTGTGTCTCAGTGCTTTTCAAGTGTACTTTTGGGATGGTGGAGCTTTTATACTACACCTTGCTCAGGGCTGCTCCTGAAGTCAGGTTATAGCCCAAAGCCTTCTTCTGTCTGGATAAAGAGTTTATTGGATTAAGCCTAATTTAATGGATGAATCAGAAAGTCAGGATCTGCTGTAGTGCCAGTACTTTTGCATTTCAAAATAAACAGTGATTGTATATCTAAGAATAAAGGTATGTGCTAACTCATGTAATACTATCTATTTAAATATTGACGCTACTTTGAATTCCACTACCCTTTTTGTAAATTCTCTTTGATACTACAAAGATAAATATAAGACCCGGACACTTCCAGTTAATAGAAAAGTTGCCAAAGAACATCTAACTTCTCTTCAAATGCTTAAATACGAAATATTTTGAATTTTGCTATATGGTAAGTAACTCTTTTCCTATAAAAACGTAAGAAGATCAGAGGGTAAATGGAGAATAAGTCACCTGGACTCTTTTACTGAGCTTTTCACATGTACATGTCTATAAAATGGGTCATTTAGGGTAATGATGGCTCAAGAGAGAAAATGTTTTAGCAGATCCATTTGGTTCATTACAAACATTCTTGGATCTTGAATACTCACTAGTATGCTTGAGAAAGAAGCCAGTATTAAGAACCACTCGGAGTATGTTGCATTGTAGCTGAAAACAAATTTACCACTTTCAGGGTTCAACCCAATATGAGGCAGTCCAAAGTTTCCAGTTGCTTTACAGAAATATAATAAATGTGCTGATTCATAAGCAAATATATAAAGTAGCAGATTTAATTTGCACTGACAAAGTAGATTCCTTCCTTTTCTGTTGGAGATAATGTGTCCTGTTTAGGAACAGATCCTGCATAATATGGGGTGCACTTAATTCTTGTTGAATTCCATGGAATTCAGTGGGACTTAAGGGCACACAGAACATCACAAAAGTGAGGTCCATGGTCAGTGTTTTCAAGCCTTTGTGCTCCAAGTTAGGCATCTAAAACTCTGGTTGGGGTTCTAAATAAGTGGTGTGATTTCAGGATGCCCTGTGCTACCATTAAATCAGTAACATACAACAATCCAAAGGAATGGGGGGAAAATTCCCCTTATATTGGACAAGAATTATGGTCCTAAAATATAGAAAGTAAAAAATCTTTGCCTAAAGACTTGCATCCCACATGACATCTTCAAAAGGTGAAGCAGCTTTATCAGGTCTGTGGCAGCCTTATGCCATCTCCACAGCACAGGATCTGCTTTGATTTATTTAAATGAAATATTTAATCTTTAAGCAGAGAGGTTCACACTTTTGCCTCTACCTCTCCAGGGTTCAGCTCTGCCAACAAAATTAGTAATTTTTAGACACCTACCTCAATAAATCATAGCTACAGTAAAGCTGGGAGACTCTAGGATTCAGACCTTCATGAGTGGGCTATTAATCTTCCAGTCACACAACCCTGTGTAAAGTATAATGAGGCCACACAAATCCTAGGCAGCTAGATGTAGCATATCAGCATTACATGGCTGGAACTAGGGCTCAGTTTTTAAACTCTTTCAAGCAAACCTTTCCAGGAACGGCTGAGTGAATCTGTCAGTGATGATTTTGTGCTAATTTTAGAACAAGAGTTCTCAGCAGATCAGCTGTGAGTCTCCCCGGGAAGTTGCCTAGCATTCTGGGAAAGCATGGTTGCTGAAGTCAATTTGTTCAATCAAAAGCGCTTTAATTTTCAGAAGCATCTCATAATTCTTAACATTAGTTCCCACCTTCCCTCCCATGAAGTACTATAGAGACAGCATTCAAGGACCTTTCTGAAAAGGACAGGTTATGGGTGGCTGAAGATAAGACTGAGCCCTACCTAAAAATGTCTGATACTGTATTTTGATAATATCCCACTTTGGAATCTGTCTCTAAACTGTCTAATCAATCCCAGGAGTATCTCATTACATCAGAGGGATGAATGGGCTGTTTACTAAAATGCACCCAGTGCTCTTCCAGAATGGCCCTGATATTAGGAAAAAAAGGAGGAAATTAAATTAAGTCCTTGTGTTGCACTGCATTTCTCTTTTCCTGGCAGGCTACACTAATTACTTTTGTGCACCAGAAATATCAGAGAGATCTGAAGTAGTGCATATGTATACCTGAATGTGTGCAAAGGCATTTTCTTCCTCAGTTTGCCCTTCCCACCCTTCACCTCCTTCCAGCATTCTTTATGTTGACTGTAATAAGTAACTCCTCATTACAAATGACCTACCTATTTTGCAGGGTGCCTCTCACTTCTGAGCCTTGGAAGAACCCAGCTTCAGTTTTGGCACACCAGGGTGGACTTGTGAATCTAAAGACAGTTAATGTAATCTTAGGAATTCACCAGGATTATCTTTGCTTCACTCCATATGTAGGAAACCTCACTGGCTGGCCGCTGCTTTTTACAATCACTCATATGCAGAGCAACTTCCTCATAATTGGAGGTCAGTTAGGCCAGTGATTCTCAGCCAGGGTGCCATGACACCCTGTGTTGCAGTCAAAGCAGGATTCAAACCTAATGCAGTTAAGGATTGATACAACACCTCATTCAGTTAATAGCAATACCGCACACAAGCTATTAAAATTAAATGACAGCAAGAGACTCTTTTCCTACATTCAGTACGTGAGCTATTTTAAAAGTCCTAGTCTGTACTAACTGCAAGAGAATTTTTCACTGATGCAGGCAGAAAGCGGTTTTCAGTCTTGTCAGCCTACACTGAGTGTGGATCTGTTGCTCAGGAGGTGAATGGCTGGGTGCAGAATGATTTCTCTGTCTCTCTTGGAGTGCACATACTTTGCTGGCAACTCTGTTTTGTACTTATACTGTTTAATTGTACATCTTCAAAGCATTCCTTCTTGCTAGTTGGTCAATTAAAGTCCAAACAAAGCAGGTAGGATGGGACCATCACATTACCACTGCTAACTGCGAGGATCCTGTTTCTAGATGTCCAGATGTGAAACTTGTTTTTGCAAGCTTTTGATCAGTCCGGAGGTTACACTTTAATCAAGCAGGATGGGTTTTGATTGACTGAAGATGGATCTTGATTGACTGAATGGGGTACCTTGGGGCATTGATGACAGGACACTGTACTTTAGATAATAGTTTTAACAATGGGTTAGAATTTACAATAGTCTGCATGGTGATGGTCTGTGGAAACATTTGCAAAACTTCAGACAGACACTGAATGCCTGGTTTGAGAAATATGCCTTAATTAAGAGGGGGGAAATGTCAAGCAGGATACAGTCACGTAGGAGTATGCAGATATTTATGAATGGTTTAGCATAATAAAACATTGGGTACCTTTGCAACTAGCACAGAAGATGAAACCAATTGGGATTGCTCTATTTTGCATGGTTCCAGTCACGATATTGCATTCTTGTGCAAGATGCACTGTTATTTTAATTTGGTCATTTAAATTTCATGTGTAGGCCTGGCCAAGCTTTCGCAGTCATTACCTTGAGGTGCTTTGAGAGCTTCTCAAGGGTGCCATGAGGTGCCACTCAGTGTTAGTTAGCCATGGTAGGTGTGCAAACATGATTCGCAAGATAAACCCAGAAATTTCAAATAGGAGTCCATAGTGTTAAAACCATTCTGACCTGCTGTGGTCTTTCTGAGTTCTTTTCAACAGAATTGCTCTATTCTTTTTCTTTAGTCACGAAATAAGTGAAAACTAGGAGCTGGCATTTTCTGAGGGGTGCCTCGAATCTAAAAAGGCGGAGAATCACTAAGCTAGCCCAAGACTGAGCAATGTGGAAACATCCTTTCATCGCACCAGTTTTTCCCCAAACTAGCTAAATAAGCTGTGAAATCATACCTGTTATTCTTTTGGTACAGGTCTGTGCATGGCCACTCCTCCTTTAGAATAAAAGTGTTTGTTCTGATTTGTTTTCATACATCTACAGCTATCTGAAGGTCTATTTCTATGACCTTAATAGCACAAAGGAATCTTAATGCAAATTTGGGGCCAGGAAGGAATTTTACCCCATGGTCAGATTGGTGTAGGCTGTGGGGATTTTTGCTTTCCTCTGTAACAGGGGGCATAGTCCTTTCCTTGGGATCTTTTGAACATATATTAACAACGTTTTACAGAACGTTGGCTGCTGTGGTCCCCTACTTTGCCTGTGGCAGGTTTGGGTGTTATGACTTTTATTGTGTCAGGGTTGATTGTAGATTTGCTAATAGGTTAGACAGTGGATTTGTATAGGATAGTTTGGATGAACCTGCCTCAGGTAGAGGGTTGGACTAAACCAACCTTTTAAGTAGCAAGTATCCTCTAACTTCTGAAAATGTTAATAAGTACCCCAACACTCAATTTTCCAGGGGATTTTATATTTACAGACTAATGTGTGCCATATTTTGGAAGAATGGCTGTGTATATAAGGCCGTGATATGACAGATGTCTGATCTGGTGTGGGCAGGGTTGCCACCTTTTACACCAGCGGTGCACAACTCAAGTATGTACCTAGGCTAGAGGTGATGTTGGCCAAAGCTAGGAGGGCTGAACCAACTAGGTGTTGGCCAAAGCTAGGAGGGCTTTGTACGGCATGCCAAATTATTACTGGGGAATTTAAATTTTTTGCCATAATTTTGAGAGGAGGAAGGGGCAATAGAGAGAGAGAGGAAAAGAGGGCAAGAGGGAGAGAGAGAGAGTGTTGTGGTACCTGCATACCTGCTGCCTGTGTCTTGAGTACTCCCAGGGGTACGTGTACCATAGGTTAAGAAACTAAGGACTATATGACCTCTTGAGATCCTTTTCAGCCCTTACTTCTCTATGATTCTATGAAATATAAATGTCACCTAGAAAACCAACGCAAAGCCGGGAATTGAATTTAGCTCCCTTGAGTCTATAATTTGAGCTCTTTAAACACAAGACTACCTTTCTTCTCCCATAAGTGTTTCACCTCCATTCATACACGATAGACTACGAACAAACAAATGCCCTGTTTCTATGTCTTACAGCTAAGTACTTGTTCTCTGATACACTGGTATAACTTTAGTAAGTTCTCTGGATTTACACAGATGTAAGCAAGTGCTGAATTTTTATCTTAGTTAAAAACCCTATATATTTTAAGCTCTCCCATGAGGATCTTAAAACTTTTATCTTTTTCTTCAAGAAAAAAAAATAAAACAAAGAACATGATAAAAGAAGCCAGGGACAAAGCACTGGTCTTTTTGGTGAAGTTCCTGACCTTTTCTGAGCTTTGTTCAACAACCACAATGTTAGTTAAACACATTTTTTGGAATGTACAAACAGAGATGAAGTAGGATGTAGGGAAGATAAGGGTGAAATTAGATATGGAAGATTGCATTCCAGTGCAGTAAGCTCTCTTGTCTCTGCATTCCATGGTGTTTTTAGGTAATGCTAATTCTATCTGTATTATTCCAACCTTTCTCCACAGGGTGAAGAATTAATTCATTTAGAGGGAAAGTGCTGTCCTGAATGTGTTTCAAGTGATAGTTACTGTGTTTACAAAGAACATACCAAAGATGTAAGTAGCCCAGTAATTTGGAATATGCAGTGTAGGGTGGTAAGCCTGTGAAGATTTGGAGAATGGGCTGTCCCCTACAGGTCTAGCAAGAACATTCTTTGCTGAGACTTACAAAGGAAAACTCCATTAATGTTATTTATCCTTTTTACATTGTATAATATCTGCTTATTTTTACTTTTCTGCACTGTGTATATCTACCAAAGATTTTTTTATTACATTTATTAAATTTGCTTGCTTTCTCCTATCATGCCTCCTTATTGTTTAATGTACATACCCCTAAGTTTTCAGTGCATTCCCTCAGCTTTAAGATGTCTAACCTTCATTATACTCCTTTGCGACCTGCATAGTTAAAGCTTACTTTTTGAATGCATAACTTATTGAGCACTTTTTCTGCAATAAGACTCCATTGTTTATGTATATTTTCAAGGATTTTTCCTAAAATTGACTCTTACTTTTTTTTGGTTGATGTGCAATAGCAGATGATTCTGACAAATGAGTAATGCTGCTTACTACTACATAAGTAGAGATGAAAAGCTCTAACAGATGTGGGCAGTGGAAAATTATTTTTTTTTTCTAAACAGCAACTTATCTATTTCCTTCTTAGATTTTTTTCTCTGATACAAGTGAGGGAAAACATATCAAGGTGAGTATATTGCATATTGTGTTGGATCCACTGGCTTTTTTTACTAGAGAAATCCCCACAAAGGATCTCTGGTCATCTAAGCGTCACTCTTTGCCTGGTTCATGCATGTACCATCCACCTATTCTGGGGCTCAGCAGAGTCTCATGTGCTAAATGAAGAAATGGTTCTCTTTAGTGGTCTCAAATGTACAGGTCCCCCCAGACAAGGTAGGGAACAGGTGCAAAATGGTCCTGTTTCCCTCTTCACTGGCTAGTGAAACTAGCTGGATATAGAGAAAAGAGCATATATTGTACCTGTCCTCAGGATAGCCTTTTCTGAAAGAAGATTGTAACCTTTTGATCTGTCTGTTTTTCCCATGGCAAAAGATTAACAGTGACTCTAGACACTGTCGTGTGACTGTTTTTATTTAAAATTATTGTTAATGAACTGCAGAATGGGTCAGTGAGGTGGTAATCTTTTGAGATTATGTGAAATTCTGTCATTAATCCAGACCTACAGAAAATTGGGGTAATAAAGTTAAGCAAAAGGGCAGATGGAATTCATTCCTAACAAAGAGTGATGCACATTGGAAGGGATGTTGGAAACTGTAAGATACGTTAGTGAGGTCTAAATTAACTCTAACTACTTGGGAAAGACCAGAGAAAGCAAACAGGTGTTCCTACTATTTATTCTTGTTCATGATGTGAGAACAAGGAGGCATGCAATAAAACTGAAAGGCAGTGCACTTAGAACTGACAAAAGAAACCAATTCCACAATACAGAGCAATACAAAGCTCTGTATAATTGAGAGCAAGATCACAGAAAGTTTAAAAATGGCTCATCTATTTACATGTGTAATGAGAATGTCTAACGTTACATTGGATACAATAAAAAATTCTATGGCAAGCAAAGCACCATGAACCCACACCTAACTGGCAATGATTAGACAAAATAACTTTCCCAGTCTGTAGGAAAATAAAGATACCTTTCTCTCTGAAGTATCTGCTACTGGCTGTTCTTGGGGACAGGATTTTGGCCAAGATGGGAGTGCTGATATGGGCTGGTACAGCAATATTCCTTCTGTTTTGTAAGATTAGGGCTGATGATCATTACCCCTGTATTAGATTCACTGGTTTATTTTGGGATTGTTGTAAATCAAAAAATGATCTATCTTATGCAAAGGTGATATGATGCCTAGTCTTAGGCTAGCTACCAAACCCACTGTGTCTTATAACATGCAACGTGGTGGGGATTCAGTCTTGTTGCAGAACTCCACATCTCTGCAGTGAGAACAGAGCAGTAACACAGACATTCAATGTTGTCTTGTGCAGAATGGAGAGAAATGGAAAGAAGGCCTGTGCAAAGAATGTGAATGCCGGGACACCCAGGTGATCTGCTATCGCCGCTCTTGTCTGCTTTGCCCACTGGGCAGCCTGGCAGTGGAGGTAAAGGGAGACTGCTGCCCACAATGCAAATCAGGTATTTGTTTGAAGCAGTTTCTGCTGTTATTTGCATTTCTCTGCAAGGATTCTTCTAGATTCTCCCACTTGTCCTTGAACAGGGTATTAACTTCTATAACCCTGACCTACAGAACTAAAGATAGGAAATGAAGTTAACTTTTTTGTCAACACTTTTGAGTGATAAGCTGGTATGGGAGGGACCTGAAGGGGGAGAACAAGCTTATAGCTGTGACTAGATTATCCAGCCATTACCCACATTGGCTATCCCAGTAGTTTGGATAGGAGTGGTTATGTGGGTGCTTGTTAGTGTTAGTAACAGATGTACAGTCCAGTCCTTGCATTCCCCACTCTCCTCAATTTTATCAACTTTCTTGTGACACCTGTCTCAATTTTTAACTTCTCTGCTTCTGTTCTGTTCATGGTTTGGTAATTACTCCCCTCCCTACCTGTATAATTAAATTAACATTTCAGGTTAGGTTTAAGACTTGAGCCAAAGGCTCCCACTTCTTCACTTGGTTTGGATTAAACCCTTAGTAGCTTTCTTTTGACAGACAGTAAAATATCAGTAATTGTGGGGAGGGGAGGGATGTTCTTGAAATGTTTTTTTGTGTTCCTTTTTTAATATAAGGAATCGTGTAACAAAGAAAAGTGTTGCTTCTTAAGCTCTGATGATGTTTTTGACGTTTATAGGCTCATGATTAATTTCCTTTAAAAAAAAGGGAACCTCCTTGTTCTGAAATGCCCATGCCAAGTTCACCTCAGGCTGAATTAGTGCCCGTTAATAATTATCTGGAAATGTTAGAGTGGCTTTCGCTATAGGGTAATTTTGCATATAAATTAATTTTTCCACAGGGTGTTGACATTTCACTTCATTTAAATTTCATAGTTGATAGGTTTTATCTGTGGATTCCTAATTTTTTATACTGGCAGCTGTTCCTGTTGCACTCGACTTTCTTTGGTTTATCAGGGCACTTTGGTTAATAGTTTATCAGAGGACAAAGAAAATGCGTTCACAGTTTTATATTCTGTGATTGCAGAAGCAGCTCAGTTGGCTTCTCAGATCAAACATTTTAAAGTTCATTATTTATTACGCACCCCAAAACAAACAAAAATCCAAAAGTGAAGGAAATCCTTTTTCAGACAGTTCACACAAGCTTTGATACATCTCATAGACCTGAAGAGATGTATCTTTGGAACACAAGTAGAGAGGAAATGGTTTTGATATTGTGTAACTATGCCCAAATCACTTAGGATCACTTAGCAACTTTTGAGTATTTTAATCTAAGTCCCATTAACTTCTTAGTAACTTCATCACTAGCAGAGTAAGATATGGTGGTACAGCATGCAACTCATATGCTATTTTGGGAAAAAGAGGCTTGACCCTTTGGCAGACGAACCAAATTATGGCTCTAGATCTGATTCTTGTGCACGTGCCATTTCCAACCTTCTTGTACCAAGCCATGCGCTGTTGACAGATTCTTTCTTGTCTTTTATTTCTCATGGCAGTGCAGTGCCACCCAGACTGTTTGGTATGCTCTCAGTCCTTTGACCACTGTGACGTCTGCCGGGATGCAACAAAGCAACTGCAGAATGGACGTTGTGTGGAGAACTGTGAATCTGGATTCTACAAGGATGCTGGAGTTTGCTTAGGTATAGCTAAGCAAATGGGACCAGCTAAGTGGATTTTCTGCAGTGTCCACAGGTCTTTAGTTGGCAGGTTTTTCAGGGACTTGTTCTTCAGATTCCCCTTCAGTCACATATGTTTAGAAGTTGAAAATCTTCCTCCTTATCTCATATTTACATGAAACCAGGGGATCAGGTTACATTTGATAAGTGTAGCCTCCCAGGCTCTAATTTGACCCTTAAATCCTATGGACTTCAATGGATCTTTAAATTAAGCACATTGAAAAAAATCAGTTTGCAGAATATTTCAAGTAAAGGACATCTTTCACCACCTACTTCTATGAATGGGCATGCTTCCTTGAACATAGCCTTCCAGCAGGACATATACATGGCTGGATATAGGATTTTGAAAAGGGAGGTGCAGATGGTGTGGCACATCACATAAAATACAGCACACATTTTTCTCTAGTTAAAATAAAACTAGAAGCTTAACTAATATGCTAGGGAGCTAGCAATATATCATTGAGTTTAAGATCAAATAAAAAAATTCAACTATTGCAATGTGCACTAATTTGCTAGATTATATAACTTCCCTGCCTGCTGCAGTGGCCTGGACCTGATGATCTTCCAAGGTCCCTTACAGCCTTACAATTCATAGATTCATAGGCATTAGGGCTGGAAGGGACCTCATGAGATCATTGGGTCCAGCCCCCTGCCCAAGGTGCAGGAAGTCAGCTGGGGTCAGATCACCCCAGCAAGATAAGCATCCAAGCATTTCTTAATGGTATCCAGAGTAGATGCTTGCTTCTGGGGGGAGTCTATCCCAGACTCTGGAGATTCTGATGGTAAAGAAGTTTGTCTTTATGTCTAGTCTAAAATGGTCTTTCAGCAGTTTATGACCATTAGACCTTGTCTTCCCTTGGGGTGCCCTGGTGAACAGATGTTTTCCCAGTTTCTGATGCACACCCCTTGGCTTCCACCAAGTCACTGACCCTGTGCCCTGAGCAGGAAAG